TATATAATTTAAAATAAAATAAAATTATAAAATTTATTAAAAATAGTTTGTTAAAAATTAAAAATATTCTTTACCGTTAATATCCAAAAATAGATATGTGTATGGCTTTTTTGTTCAAGTTTTAGATTTAACCCATGCTTATTGTTATTTATCGTAATTAAAAAGTTCTCAATCCTTCGGTTATCCTTCCAAACTATGAATACGTCATCAACATATCTTTTGTATAATATAATGTCCTCCATGTAGTTTTCTAGAACCTGCTTTTCTAGTTGACGTACCACTAATTCGCACAAGAGACTCGACATGGGACTACCCATTGGGACTCCTTTCCTTTGTTTGTACACCGTCCCATTGAACTTACAAAAGGATTGGTAACACATCAAATCCACCAATTTATTTAAGTCTTCCATATACGCTGTTAATCGTGGATTATGTTGTACCATAAAATCAACAAGAGTATTAAAACAAGATGTTAAATTCATGGAAGGGTACATGCTTTCAAAATCCATAACCGTTCCTATTTCATCATTCATCAGTGCCAAACCTTGTAACTCTTTTACCAACTTATTTGGATCCTGTGCTACATATACATTATCCTCCAACATTTCATAGATAAACTTTGTTAATCGTTTTTCTAATATAAAGGTTGGAGCACCACATTTCTCAACTATTGGTCTAATTTCTTTGTTTTGCTTGTGCGTTTTTGCGAACGCAAATATTTTGGGTATTCGGGGGCAAGGGTTATGTGACTTTTTTAATAACGTCATGTACTTCGCGAGTGAAGTTTTTTCTAGCTTTTTAACTTTGTTGTTCGTTATTGTTACAATCTTTTCGTCCACGATGTCGCATTCCGTTTTCTTAATATAATCTTCAATGGCTTCATTATACCTTCCTTTTTCCATAATCACCATTTGTTTAGTTTTGTCGGCTTTTGTTAACACTAACTGATTTTTTGTTAGCCATTCTTTTGTATACTTTATATTTAATTTATCCCTACAAACTACCTTATGTCTTTCCCTTTTTCTGAAAACTATCTTCCATCTAAAATAATCCCTTTTTACTTCATTAAGTCCGGCCATACCTCTTTCCATTTCAGCCATTGTAGTTTCCCAATCGTTCATGTTATTTTGAACGTAACTGGGTCAGTTCTTTAATACCAAATCCACAATTTTTGGTACTTTAACCTGGTCCCATAGAATATAAGGCGGTACACTTCTGTTTTGTTTCTTGGGAGCTTGTTTCTTTACAATCCACCTTATTTTTTTTTTGAAATATTTCTTTTCAAGGGTATTTGTTACCCGGTCTGTTAGCCTTACTACCTTATTATTGATTTCTATTAACAATTGCGGAATTTTTTTATATATTGCTTTTCAAATTCAACACACTCCTTTAAAATTCCATATTTTTTGTTTTTTACAAGTTTAATAGATTTACGTAAACATGTTTCTTGGAATCTTCTTTTTAACATATAACATTCTACCGATATGCTCATTTTATATATGGACATTGGAAACACTTTTTTTTTCAATACATTCCTTAAGGAAATTCAACTTGCAGTTAGTCTTAACTAGCTTCAAAGCAATCTTTCTGTATAACTTATAATCGTTGGCCGGTGCCGCCATTGCAACTACTCTCACTTCCTCAGCAGTTTACATATGAATATTATAAAACACCAAACAATTTGCTGAGCTTATTATTTATTTACTGTTCAAACGTTTTCAGCCTACTTCTAATAGGCCATCCGCAAGACATTACCGTTCTACATTCGAACACAAAACTTTCGAATAAATTTTAAATTTAAACTTTACAATAAATTGTAAACTATTAAATACTTAACACATTAAATAATAAATATATATAAAATTAATATAACAAAAAATAAAATAAAATTAATATAACAAAAATAAAAATATACATCGAACTAGTAAAATATCTCCTTCATAAGTTTATGGGTTTTTAATTCCCATTTCTTTTTCTAACAAGTATTTCCATGCCGTTGGCAGAGCATTAGCATCCTTTGCTATTATTATTTATTTTACTCTTATATATCTGCATTATTTCTATGTCAAATGCAATAGTCGGAGAATGGACCGGTCTAACTATCATTACATCATCCCACTTAACATTTGCCCCATCTGATTGTGCCATGATTGCCAAGATGGTGTTGTTGTTTCTTTTACTAACGTCATACATGCTCTCTTTTAAACGAACAGCCAGGTTTCTCGTGGTGACACCCACATAATCTTTTGCCACTCCTAATTGTTGATTCTCAAAGGGAATTCTCATAACCCCAGCCCTTTTCTTCATTCCTATCTTGTCCTTATCATTCCTTAGCAATTTGTAGATGTTTGGCGCTCGTTTATAAACAGTTCTTGTGCTCTTATATTTAAATAGTTCTTCCATTATTCCTTCTACCTTCCTGTTGTATGTAAACTTATTAAACCTATTTTTTAGCTTATCTCGTTTGTTTGTCTCTTGTTTGTAACCTTTGACCAATTTGTTAATTGTAGATGTCTTGTATCCTAAACTTTTCGCAATCTTCCTGATTCTGTTAATCTCGCTAATTCTATCCTGTACGTTGGTGCAATATAAGAACGCTCTTTTTATAAGCGCCCTAAACGATGCATATTATTTATACATAATTTATTGAATATTATATTCATAGCACTATTTGTAGTTTCGTTTATTAAATACATTAATACTTTAGTGAAATGCAATAAGTTTTTCTACTTACTTATTTTTCATTGCAGTAATTAATTGTGTTTTGAGTGGGAAGAAATTTCTTAGTTGAACAAGTAATGTTTTTCAGAATAATGTGTTGGTGTTTTTGTATTATTTTCAATAGTGTGTCTGCAAGTATCGTTTTACACATTACCTTTTACTTCTTTTTTGTGTGTACTCACCTGATTTGCAACTTTTCCTGTAATTCCAATCCACGTACCATTCTCATTTATATATCCTATATGATTGTCAATCGGATGCACTACAAAATATCTAACTAATTGTATAACTAGATATAGAGAAAAAGTTATATTACAAAACAGAAAGAAAATTTATCAATATCTTTTAGTATTTATGTTAAATTAAAATGTATATTATTCATATAACATAACATATAATTACAATAAAAATAAATTTAATGTTGGCGTGTGTTGCTTAAAAGAAAATCGAAAAATTTCTGAAAGATACAACATTTTTCTAATTGTTCTATTGTTTCTATTGAATATTTCTAATTGTTTTTTCTTCTTGTCATGAGCCCTTATTTCTGCTTATCGTGTGTTTTCATAAACAACTTACATAATTTCGAATCTTGTAATTTTTTGACTGAAAGTTTTTTTATTTACGGACATGAAGTGAATCAACGTATTTTTTACATAAAAATACAGTCGACCCCCTATAACGTACGTTCCTATAACGACAATTCCTATAACGTAGCGAAAAAATTGTAGAAACTTTCGTATAAAGTACCTCCTATAACGTCGTTTCGCGACAAGATTGATAGAGTCTGGACCAATAGTGGATGAGCAGCCGAACTACTTTCTTCCAACCCTGCGCCACGCTACGGAGCGGCTAAATTCAGTTTGCTGTCGTCTGTTTAGTATTATATATAAATTAGGTACTGTACATATAATTATATATTAACTTAATTTATTGTAACTTTATTATAATTATATATATGCTTTCTGCCGCCTGGCAACACGCTACGGAGATTTTAGGCTAGTAAGATGAGTTTATTATCGTCTGTACAGTATGTAAATTAGGTACCGTAAGTCTAATACAGCACTAATTTTATACATTTCTTGTGAAAGAAACACTTCATATTCAACGGCCATAAAAATTATTTATATTAATAATGTCTCCAAAGGTCAAGTTATTTTTATGCGAAAAATTCGTTATTAGAAATCGCGGCCACCGTTTAATGTGCTGTTCCGCGATGAAAACCAGCTTTAAGCAACGGCGTAGTCGAACGGTACACACTCGGTAAGTAATCCTATAATTTTTTGTTTATAGCATAGTTTATACAGATTACTCCCAAAAAATTATACGTGTTTTGGAAATGTTGAGTCGAATTAGTCTAGAATCGGTTAATTTTATAGAAGAAAACCTTTCGAACAGCCTTAGTCCGTAAAGTTCCCACCTATCGGGCTGCGATTGGATCATGTATTTAATCATTCCTATAACGTAAAATTCGATTAGCGTGGAACGTATCTAAGCGTTATAGGGGGGTCTACTGTAATTTAAACAACTATTCATACTTATGCGTATTTATGTTTCCCAACCATTGTCTTTGCCTTTTATATCGATAGTATTTTCTTGTCATCATTCTATATCTTGTGATTGACTTCGTATTTTTATGCTTTTTGTGTTGTGGAAATGTTACTTGTTCAATATTTTCATACCATTTTCTCCTTATCGTCTATTTATTTTTTTTCAATAAGTTACATTTATATTCGATAGCAGTTACTTGTGTTTTCTAATTTGCTTTTTTTTTCAGTACATTTTTCACAATTGAACTGAACCGATATTTTCTTTAACTTTTTATCTGAGTCTCATATAATTGTTCTTGCTATTCTTGCACATAAGTTGCGTGTAGATTTTTGTCTGTCTAAAGCAACATTCATGCAAGCACTTCTCTTCTTATCTTAATTATTTTTTTCATATTTTACTATTTTTATTTCAGCAATAAATTATTGCCGAGTGGCATTTGCAGTGCGAACTGTTTCTAGTTTTTCGAACATGAAATTCTCAGGTAATTCATCTGCGAAATGTATAAACACGTCTTTGTATTAAAGCTTTTACATTTAATTTAATCAACGTAATTAATTAATTAAATACGTAACCACACATAAAAACTTCTATTGTTACATTTAATTTTCAATTAGTTCTCTAATTCAGAAATTTATAATGCTCTAAATACTTAAATCCCATCATAAACCTTTCGTAATTATAGTGTAACGAAATTATTTCATTCTGTATTTGCCCTTTAATTTGTACCAATATCCAATAGTAATTAATAAATTTAATAATCAACGTCGTTTTCATACATAAAATTTTTACAAATTACAAAGATATTTTTAAAAAATTTTTGTATAGAGTCACGTCGCACTTTATTCTATATTGTGTTCTTTAAAATTTGAACTTAACATAAAATATAATAGCATGCAATATGGTGTTATGCTATCAAGACACATTACTCAAAAATATAGAATTTTTTATCTATTGCCTGTGGTTAACATAATCGTTGTTCTTTTATATAACAAAGCATATTATTGATACAGTAATTTATTTCTAAAGATAATTTTTTTCAGAAATAAATATATTTTTCGTATACTTCGGTTCGATGCACGTCGACAAGACATAAAAATATCATAAGTTTATTTGTTGTATAACATTTAAATTCGAATTATACACCATTTTCAACAATGTCTATAAGAGTTTAAAAGAAACAGACAAGAGGAGCAAAAGCTGGAAATGCGTCATGCATGTCAAAGGATGACTCTAGCCCTTTTAAACTGATATCCCGAGTTAACTCGCGCAGATTACATAGCATTACATGAAATGCGGTCCTTCCGGCCCCCCAAAAAATTTTTGTTTTTTTTTAATTTTTAGAATGTTTTTTAAATCTCCAAATTTTTTCAAAAACTATTTCCTGCGCGAAAAGATTTTCTCGCGAATTTAATTAGCCTTTGATAAGGCTCGATTAAGGCTTAATTGTTTTTTAATAGGATTTTTTAATCAAATTTAATTCATCATTCTAAAGCACGGATTTTTCTTCAGTAGTTATTTAAAGCTACTTTCTGATGTCAAAAACGACCTCCAATAGTTTTTTAATTTTTTTAATGAATAGATTTTATTATATATAAATTTAACTAATTACGGGGGGTCAGAAATCGCAAAAAAATTTTAATTTTTTAAAAATATTTAGAAATATATGGCCACCAGCTAGTATTCACCCTACTATAAACCCATCGCCTCCGGAGACTTCCATGAGAATGTCCCGGGAAATCTAACTCCAGCTGTGTTCAAGGTCATCCAGCTGTGTAAACAATGTCTCATCAAATTTCGCAGAAAGGCAAGACAATGGAAAATAAAGTTTGAAGCTTTTTCTTCACAATTAACGCATTTCTTTTTCGTTTTTTTTTCAGTTTTAAGTATTTTTTTATGTTTAATTAAACATTAACATTAAAAATTGCAGTGTACGCAACGGCGTATTTATACGCCGGTCGTCAAGAACAAGCTAGGTTAAGTATTAGCGAATTAAAAATGTTTGAAACTCTTCACGTTTCTTACTCTTCAAATTGAAAGAAGCACAGCACAATTTTTTTTAATTTTTAAAGTTTTTCAGAAACTATATTAATTAAGACTACATTTTTAATAAAAAAAAAGTTAGAAAT